ACCTTGATGATTTTCCTGGTCGGTAACGGTTTGTTGTCTGTGATCTTCACGATGACGCCGCCGACAAACTGAGGGCCCGCGTTGCTTTCTTTTTCGTCTTTGCTTTTCATCTCGACTTGAATAAAAAAAAAGGAAAATAAACTCATTTCATCGCTCAGCTGAGTTCATCTCCTCCTTTTTGTTTGTCCGCATGAAGGAAAGAGTGGCTCGAGCTGAAAGAGGAGTACCTCGTCCTGCAGAAGTGCAGCATGGCGTCGCTGAAGAAGTGCATCCGCGAGATCAACCTCAAGGAGGAGAGCGAGGCTCGGGACGGAAACGGTGATTTTTACTGTTAGCTGACGAGGAGAAGGCGTTGAGCGGGAACATCTGCTTACTCGTGTTTTTCCTTTTTTTTATTCAAGTCGAGATGAAAAGCAAAGACGAAAAAGAAAGCAACGCGGGCCCTCAGTTTGTCGGCGGCGTCATCGTGAAGATCACAGACAACAAACCGTTACCGACCAGGAAAATCATCAAGGTACGGCGCTCCGCTTTGAAACCTATCTTCATCCACTGGATGAAAATAACTAATCCTTAAATGTTCTGGTGCTTTGGTTTTTCCCTCCACGTGTAGGACGCTTTGTCCAAAGTGTCTCCGGTCGCTTACATTGACATCTTGGAGGGAGACGTGGAAGGTCACATCCGGTTCCACACCCCGCAGGAAGCTAAAGCCGTCTGCGACGTTAAAGACGAGCTGCAGAAGGAGCACAGCTGGAAACTCCAGGTCCTGACAGGTGGGAGCTTTACATCCTCCTGTTTCTGCTTTTACAGGGCTGACCACGGCTTATTCCAGGTCTCAGGTTGAGTTTGTCTTGTGTTTAAGTTGACCACGAACAGCGGTACTGGCAGAAGATCTTAGTGGACCGGCAGGTCAAGCTGAACCGTCCCCGAGAGAAGAAGCGGGGCACAGAGAAGGTCAAAATTAAGCTTCTGTTTGTCTGAATTTATTCATTTAATTAAAAAAAATACACATACAAAAAATATACA